CCCCAAAACCCCAAAACCCCAAAACCCCAAAACCCCTTTCAATAAACACATTATTGAAATAAAATACTCCTTCTTAACCTTTCCTAATGCACCATCCATATCCCTCCCAACTCCCTCTTAAACCCTGTTCTTGATGAAGTCCAATAAAAATTAAACTAAATGTCATACAACTACATCCAAGAAGAAGATGATGACGGCTACATGCCTATTTCTTCAAAAAAATTGTAAGGTCTTTCTTTATTACAACTGATGAGATTATGGTAAAGTTAAAATATAGAGACAAAGATAAGAAGCAAACAGATGGAGACGAACAGAAGAGCAACAGTTCTGACACAGAAGGCGATATTACAAACATATTCGGACTTTTTGAATTTGATGTTTTTAATTTGGTCTAATTTAATGGTTCTTAACGATTATTCAAAAGATCTTCCCTATCCTACTGAACCAGCTATAAACTTTATTACCTCAGAGAGCTCAAAAGGATACCCTTCAGATGTTTCTACTGGAGTTGCAGTGGGAGTTCCTATTTCCCCTGGTGCTCCACAGGAAGAAACAAAGAACATGCAAGTTGCCTCTCGTAAATTATTAATCTAATCTATTTCTAGAGCAAAGAGAGATTTCTGAGTTAAAACAAATGATTAAAGCTAGTGAACAGAGATGATGGCTTAGTTAGAGAAGAAGTCTTGCTGGAACAAAGAATTGCTATTAGGGCAGAGGGGTAGGGGAGTGTAGGAGGAGAGAGCGACAAAGAAGGGAGGTTAATGAAGCGGCCTGACTCTGTTGTATTATGGTATGGTTAGGAATTTATTTTAGTGCTTTGTACAGTTGTTAAAAGCAGTTGTGTCTGGAAGAAATAGAAGAAATTAAGGAGGTGGGAGATGAGATTTGGTTAAAGGGGTTGTGTTATAAGCAATTATATCCCAATTCTGTAATAGGTTTCCTAAACATAAAATTTGCTAAAATCTAGGAACAATTTTCACCATATTGGGATAAATCTCTATCGGTATTGATTGGATGTTTTTCTTGGAAATTTTCAACTTCAAGTTGTTTCAGGGGTTTTGGGGTTTTGGGGTTTTGGGG